ATTAAAGCTGCTCCTAAAGCTGCTGTGAGGAGTTCTGAACAAACACTGATGTCTTTATATGACCTACAACAGCAAACAGAGACCATCAGATGTAGTTATTGTTAATGCCTTTTTTTATGGCTACCGCTGGGTCTGCATCAGTGTTTGGCCCAAGGACACTTTGACATGTGACCACAGGAGCTGGGGATCGATGGATGGATGCATGTCGTAGGGCTGGGTATTTCCCACAACGTCACAATACAGAGGCCACGATGGATTAACACCAGAACTCCTACAACAGCTGTTCTTTATTGTTGAGGCATATCAAAGGAAGAATATGCTACTTTTTTCATCCAGCAGATGTCGCCCTTGAGCACCAGCAGGAAACCAAAACAACTTGTGCTGCATCGTTGTGTTAGCATGCTAATGCTAGCAATCTTTATTATGCTCGTATCTTCACACTGCGTGTAAATTTATCTGAAATGAGTGTGATCTAGAAACACAGTTAAGCAGTGAGTACAGTATGTTATTCTTCTTTTCTCTAGTCCCTCAATTAAACAACTTTTATACAGGAGGGGAAGAGCCGGCCGGCTGGCCGGCCGTCCCGGCAATGTAAACAAAGTGTAGATATGGCTCAGAAAGCATCACAGACAGTGGGACTCGGGTGTCACACTCATTGTAGACAGTCATGATTTAGTATCTATCTATCTATCTACAGAGTTATTTTCAGAGGATATACTTGATTTCTACATTTAAGTGTAAAAAAAAATCTCATATTCTTCCTTTAAGGATCCTACAGCTTAAAACACTTAATTTCAGGTCCTCAGAGATCCTAGAAATACATTCAAATATTTTAATCGCAGAGCTGTGGCTAAGGTGATATTGTGAACCGCACCATGGGGCAATTGTCTTTCTAAACTGTCATCATAGCTTTGCAGCCAAATCCATTCTGTATTCTCCAATGATGCATGTATTTGCAAGGAGCACATGGCGATATATTGGCATATTGATTTTTGGAGCACAGCCCTACTGTGTATACTTAGTAGCGTTGTGCATGATTTGCTTCCAGGGCAGTATTGTCTCAAGTCCAACATGGTCGCACGCTTGCACTTGATTTGCAAAGTGGGGATTTACAAATGTCTCATTGAATCTCATTCTCACAGCATTTCTGTGTCATCGCTTGTTTTATTCCTGATCCAACAATCCAAGTTTTGTTGTTGTTTGTGAAAAATAAATGTATCATGATGGATTACAAGTAGATTGAGAGGTGTAGGTGTTATTTTTATCCAGCTTCTTCCTCTGCACATAAATTGCTATAAAAATCAGTCAATTCAGACACCAGACTCCTTTTTTTCCGATCAAAAGCATGTTTAACAGGTCTGCTAATTCCTCACAACTTTATTGTCACATAGACATATCCATCCATCCATCCATCCAATTTCTTCCACTTATCGAGGTCGGTCAGTAAATCAACCCAGACCCTCTCCCCAACAATGTTTTCCAGCTCCTTCTGGGGGATTCTGAGGCGTTCCCAGGATAGGGTCTGGGTCTAACCCAGGGGTCTCCTCCCAGTTGAGCGTGCCCGGAAAACCTCCAAAGGGAGGCGTCCAGGAGTCATCTTAATCTACCTCAACTGGCTCCTTCAGACGCAAAGGAGTAGTGGCTCTACTCAGATCTGCCCTCCGAACGTCTGAGCTCCTCACCCTCTCTTAAGTCTGAGCCCAGAGACCCCCTGCAGGGGAAACTCATTTTGGCTGCTTGTATCCACGATCTCATTCTATCGTTCACTACTCTTAACTCATCACCATAGCTGAGAGATGTGACAAAGATCGACCTGTAAATCGAGAGCTTTGCCTTCAGGATCAGCTCCCCCATCAGCTAAAATGTGCTAAATTACAAAGTGCATGTCTTTGTTTTTATTTTGATATTAACACAGAAACAGAGACTGATTTTTCCTCTGAATGAAGCTCTGAACAAACATCCAGAAAACCCTCAAAGTCAAAACAGTCATGTCGTATTTGACCCTCTGATTTCTCACCTGATCACCCTTTAAACCTGCTGCCACCACATGAACCAAACATCTGCTGCCACCTACTGGTTATGTGTGGTAAAAGCAGTAAATATTTCACATGTAACAGAGAAGTTAAGACATTCAAACCATTCTACACGTGTTCTGGGTTTCTTGATGATTTGACTGGTTTAGGATTAATGAGGCAGATTTGTATCAGTGGAATTTAAAAACAAACCCTTAAATTATTTGATACAGTTTACTGATGTCGTCGTGTTTTTGAGGTCAGGGGTGTAACTGTACCTGCAAAAACATATATTCTCATTTACCCCTAAGAGTGTCTCTCATAGAGGGGCCATTAGTTTCATTCTTAAACAGAGTAAAGAGGACATATAGTCTGTGTACCACCCACTGGAACTCTCTCTCCCAGCAGTTATCCTAAATGCTACATCTTTGGATATATTCTCTCATGTCTCTTAGGTTCCTCAGGATTGTTGGTGGGCGGCCTGCTTGGACGCCCCACCCCCCCTCCAGTCCCGTTTGTCCCCATCCTTCTTCCTGCATCTTACCCCATCTCCCCCTATCCCATTCTTCAAGCCCAACAGTTTCAGAAGATGGCTGTTCCTCATGAGTCTGGATTTGCCCAAGAAAATAATAATAATAATAACCATAATAATAATAAATTGGTCTTATATAGCGCTTTTCTAGACCCTCAAAGATGCTTTAACAAGGAATAACAATAAAAACAAAACAAAGACAATGAGGACAGTACAACAAAGAAATAATGTAAAGGAAGGAGGATGAGAGTCAGTGGTTGTAGGCGGTGTTGTTGAGGTGAGCTTTTAGGGATTTCTTGAAGGAAGTGAGTGTGGAGGAGTCTCTGATGTTTTTTGGAGTGAGTTCCAGAGGGTGGGAGCAGCAATGGAGAAGGCCCTGTCCCCCCAGGACCGATGGTTTGTCCTGCAGGGGGAGGACAGAAGGTTTGCGTCAGCAGACATGAGAGTGTGGGTTGGAGTTGGAGGAGCTGAGACAGGTAAAGGGGGAGGAGCCAGGTTGTGAAGGGCTTTGTAGGAGAGGATGAGGAGTTTGAAGTTGATACGCTGGGGGATGGGCAGCCAGTGGAGGTCATGAAGGACGGAGGTGGCAGGTGAATGGGGCAGGGCCGACTACTTTAGAAAATAGAACACAGGCCTTTAACTCTGTCAGATCTATACTATGATCTTGTTATGGATTGATTGTTTTCTACTTTTCTTTCTCCACTGTGGTATTTAAATGTTTAATCCCGTTATTGCTATCATTATTATTTGTCCTTTTATTTTTTGTTAATTTGAGCTGCCTATATACTTTTTTTTTTTACTGTAAATGTTTCTATGTTCATTTAAAATACAAGACCCATGGGAGGGGGGGAAGGGGGGGATGGCTATGAAAACTCCAGGTTTGCAGGGTTGTGTTGTCATCCTCTTCTTTTTTAATTTATTTTATTTTTGCATTGTAATTATGACAATGAAATGGATGTATGAATTACTACCTAATGAATTTATTGGATGATATACACCTGTAAAGGCTGTCAAAATAAATAAAAAGTTGGTCAAAAAAAATAAAAAATGAAGAACGGGGGTGATGTGGTCTCTGGTGGGGCAGTGTGTGAGGAGCAGCGGAGTTCTGGATGTATTGAAGTTTCTTGAGTGTATTAGATGGTGAGCCATAGAGGAGACTGTTGCAGTAGTCTAGTCTGGACATGATGAATGTGTGGGTGAGGGTCTCGGCAGCTGAGAATGAGAGGAGATGAGATGAGAAGTTTTTGTCTTGTAACTTTGCTCAATGTTGCTTAATGCTCATGACGGATTAACGCCGGGCCTTTATAATATAACAATGAGTAAGGTCTTCTACCTGCTTTTTGAAAAGTGTCTCCAGATAACATTTGTAATGAATTGGCGACATACAGATTGATGCCAGCTTAGGAACTTTTAGTTAAGTGTTGCTTTGTTTGTGTTTTTCTGTTTTAAAGAACCCATGTGTCCCTTGAAAGGCGCTTTTTAAATTCAGGATATAATTATTATTGTTATTTTTATTCAAGATGCAGTCAGAATTTGATATCTTTCTCATGTAAGTTCAGCTGCAGTTGCTGTTAAACACCATCACAGTATTGGGGCGGCTGTGGCTCAGTTTGTAGAGTCGGTCCTTTCTCAACAGGAAGGTTGTGGGTTTGATCCCCAGCTCCTGCAGCAACATGTCTGATGTGTCCTTGGGTAAGACACCCCAAGTTGCTCCCGCTGCTTCATCAGCGGCATGTGAATGGATGAGTTAATACTCATAATCACTTTACTCAGCAGCCTCTACCATCAGTGTGTGAATGTGAAGGTGTGACCTGTTGTGTTAAAGCACTTTGAGTTGTCAGAAGACTAGAAAATAAATATACAAGCTCAAGTCCATTAACCATTTATTCTTTGAATGCTCTTTTTGCATTTCTTTTTTTTCTTTTTTGTGCCTTTATTGTAGCGATAGGACAATGGATAGAGTGCAAAATCAGAGAGAGAGAGAGTGGGGAACAAATTGCGGGAAAGGAGCCACAGGTTGGGTTCAAACCTGGGCTGCCTGCTTGGAGGACTATAGTCTCTGTAGAGTGGCGCAGTAACCACTACACTACCAGCGCCTGTTTTTATGCATTTCTTATGCAAAATTAAATTTTGAATTTTCCAGGTCCGTGTTTTTTTTTTTAGTTATAAAGCGTCTCACTTACATCGTCTGTAACTACTTTTTAATTCTGTCCTTTTATTAATACTTCATCTAAACATGAAGCTTTTAATCTTTGTGGGGAAACAGGGTGTGGACACCATCTAGTGGACAAACTTTGTCATGACTATAACTGTTTGACCTGCATTTCTATATTTTACAATATTTTATGAACAAAACATATTCGGTACCTAGCTTACCCCTCCTTTCTTTCTTAAATGCTCAGAAATTTCCACTTATAACTTATTTTTCTCACAGTCGTTTGCATTAAAAGGCAAACTCATTTTAGTAACTCCACCTGCTTCATCTTTATTCACATTCCAGTTACAGTCAAACAAATGATTTCAATGAATCACAACCTCATTCATTTATAATGAAAAATGACAAAGAAAGAATCTCCATTTGAACATCAACATTAGGGGCCTAACGGTCACTCCAGGAAAGATTTTCTTCACTTTGATTTATAGGAAAACATTGAAACAGAAATCAAACTACAATGCAGAAAATCTAAGATTAGGAATCCTGAATTAGCTGAACTCATGCTGTTCCAAACCCAAACTATTTTAACACAACATCACTTCTTACAGTTAATGTAAAAGAACAAAAAAAAAAGGACACTCTGTGATTCTGTACTGGTAGAGAACATTATGCTTTAAGTGTTTTGAATCCTGAATGTTCTTGTTCAGATCCCCCTCCTCAGAAAACCTCCAGGTCGACGGAGTTGTAGACCACCGCCGTCTCCTCAATCCCCACAGCAGCTTCCTCCTGCACCTCCTCTTCCTCGTCCGCGCCGTCCTCCAACGACTCCAAGGCCTCGTTGGTATCGCTGGCAAAAGTCTCCCTGGAGCCGTCGTCGTGCTCCTGCAGGTTCAGCGTGCCGATGGCCTGCTTCATCTTCTTGGCCACCACGTGCCGCCTCCTCTTCTGGGCGGCCCTCTTGCTCTTACAATCTCTCTGCTGCTCCTCCAGGAAGATCTTCCTCACCTGGCCCTTGCTGATGCTGGGCGTGTTCTTCAGCAGGTTGAGGTACACCCCGCCTGGCGTCCGTCGTCTGCTGCCATCCATCGTGTACACACCTCCCGTTTCCTCCAGCGTCGCCGTTTCTCCGAGCAGTTCGATAGCTTTTTTCTTGCCGATGACTTTGACCACGCGCTCTATCAGGTCCGTCTTAGGCTCCTGCAGCCTGTGTGCGATCTCCTCCGCCACCTTATCATCAGGGTCATCCTCTGTGATCTCATACCGGCCTTTAATGTCCATCTCAGCTCTGGGGCCCAGCCTCTCTTTAGCCGACCTCTTCCTCTTTGCGTCACCTCCTGCACGCTCGTCTGAGTTCCTCTCCTTCATGTACTCCTCCAGCTGAGCGTCCAGCATGCTCACCTCTCCTTCGTCCTTGGACTGCTTCTCCATCTCCCTCTCCTTCTCCATTATCTTTTTAGCCAGGACGAAGTTATACGTCTCCACGTTCCTGCTGGACATGCTAACCTCGCCCTCCATGCCGAATATACCCAGCTCTGCAGCCACGGCATCCTGGCACTGCTCCTGCACCACGGAGCCCCAGATGTTGTTCACCTTTCGGCCTGCCTGTGCTCCGAAGTCGGGCATGCGGTTGACGCCGGCGGCTGGTGGCTGCTGAGGAGCGCTGGAAACTTTCTGGCGTTTCCTGCGCCACACAGCCGCCTCCTCGTCCGAAGAGTCCGCGTCGCTGCCGCTGGACTCCACCGCCTTTGCAGTGCTGCGGTACGCGGCTGCAGGAGGCTGGGAGGCGGCTCTGCTGGAGAAGGGTTGACCGCTGAATGCTGGAGGAGCCTGGGGTCGAGGCTGTGCTACTAGTGTCCCCATCTCAGTATCCGAGCCGGACCCGGAGAGCTCTCCATCCTCCAGATCGCCGCCCATCAGATCTCCGACATCCGCCATTTCTAGTCTGGAAGATAACGTCAGTGTTTATTTAATGCATTAGCTAAAGTTGATGCCACTCCTCAGCAGCAACAGCTAGCTGAAGTGTAACACCACTAGCAGCTTAGCGACAACACACAACTTCAAATAAACCTTCAAAAAGACTCTAACAGGAATACCTTCAATACTCAGACACAGCAGCGGATAATCCCATCAAGACGGAAATGTTTTCAGCTCTGTTCAGCTCTTCCTCTGCGAGCTGTTGAAATCAGGTCGGTTATCAACACAGAAAAACTTGAAACCTCCTGAAGAAATCTTCGCGCTAAGCTAAAACCACACTTCCGCCTTCCACCTGTCACACACCCTTTCAGAATAAAAGCGAGAGTCAAAGAATATAGAAAACTGTCTTTATTTAACACCAAGATAATCCTTACTTCAACAATGTTTATTGTATAATAGTGTTACATGTTGTCCTGTTGTGTGCACGTAACATTCACTACAATAGGTTATTGTATACATGCTTTTACTGATACATGTTTAAGATTTACAGTCTATGATATAAACTTAAATAAGTACTACCACATCTGTTAATTGTGTAACACTGACAATGAGTTAAGATAATAATAATAATAATAATAATAATAATAATAATAATAATAACAACAGAAAAAAAATAAACAGCATTACTAAAAAAAATTACTTAATCACCTCAGAAGCGGAAGTTGCGTATCGATTGCGTCAGCGAAAACTGCGCGTGCGCACTGCGACAGATAAACAATATGGCGGCGTCCTTACAGCACCTCACGTCTGCGGGGAGATTTCTCCTTCAAAGACATTTATTAAAGACAAATTCTTTATGCAGGGTAAGGTGAAAGTGTTACGCTTCTTGTTTTGTATATAACTCTTCTACGGCGTTTGAACAGCTTTTATTTAACAGTGTTACGGTTGAAAACGTCATGGCGTGGCCTGTTAGCATAACTGTTAGCTAATAGTTAATGTTTACTCTTAGCTGCGATGTTCACTGTGACAAGAGTAACTCTTAACTCTGTGTTTGAAGTTCCACTTGATAAAATGTTCAAACAATCGTCTTCACATGTTAGTTAATATTTTAAGGCTTAGAGGTGGGCGGGGCCAGCTGACGTCACCATGACAACCCGTTAACCGTCTCCTCCACCTGCAGCTCGCAGCTGGACAGCACAGACTGTTGTCCACTCAGGCTGCTCAGCAGGTGGTTCTCAATGTTCCTGAAACGAAGGTGACCACTCTGGAAAACGGACTCCGAGTGGCCTCTGAGGACGCGGGGCTCACCACCTGCACAGTAAGTTTAAAGACCCCCTAAAAACCCCACACACACACTTTAACACTTTCTCTTAACTGGTTTCTGTGTCCTTCTGAGACGAGAAACCAGTGGTGTAGTGCAGAGTATACAGAGTATACCCACTTCTAAATCTCTTCTGATTCACAGGATTGATTGATTGACAGTATTCAGTAGGATGGTGAAGGGATGACCCTCCTACCTCTCGTCTCTAATTGGCTAGTACACACTAACTTAATATGCAAGAGGAGTCTCATATCACTGTTAGTAACAGAGGCAGTTTATCCTCCGCTGGACGGGACACCACTTCACCACCTGGAGAAACTAATCTATTGCAATAACCCTACCATGACACATTGACTAAAGATGTTATTGCTTTACAGCTGGCACCACATTTTGTTTCCGTATACATGAGTGATCATGTCATTGAAGTGACTTATCTAATGTCCAAATCCAACTTTGAGTCACTTGCACAGGTGTAAGGAAAAGATGACAAACTGTGATGAGGTGAAGATTAATTGCTTTCGTTTACGATGTGAAGAACCGTATGTTCCCACCAAATCCCTGCTCACTGAGCGGACTATACTACCTGACCAATTATCCCCAATGACCTTATATCACCATCTCGTGTCCAAATGTATTAAATAAATACACATGTAAGCACAAATCATGTTACAGTAGCAGTAGGAATTGAATGATAAATATTTCTCACAACTTCCTCCAGGTGGGTCTGTGGATAGATGCCGGCAGTCGCTATGAGAACGAGAGAAATAATGGCACCGCACATTTCCTGGAACATATGGCTTTCAAGGTGAGATGATGATGATAAAGTACAGCTTGACCTAACTTTAATAACTGTGTTTCCAACAGTTTGTATTTGCATGTATACAACAACAAGCAGGGTGACTGAGTGCAAAATGATAACCGAATCAAATCACGCATTTGTTTGAAAAGAATTGTCAGACATCTCCAAAGGTTTGTTTTTATCCGTGTGTATGTCTGTGACAGGGCACCAGGAAGCGCTCTCAACTGGATCTGGAGTTGGAGATCGAGAACATGGGGTCTCACCTGAACGCCTACACCTCCAGAGAGCAAACTGTGTACTACGCCAAAGCTTTCTCTAAGGATCTTCCACGAGGTACAACACAGTGATGTTAGGCCTGCCCACACTGATGTGAACCCAATACCACTGCATGAACTCACCACTGCTTTATTATTCTAAATAATCTGCCTATTGTTTTTCTCCCGCCGGAAGCTGTGGAGATCCTAGCGGACATCATCCAGAACAGCACTCTGGGCGAGGCCGAGATCGAGAGGGAGCGAGGGGTGATCCTCAGAGAAATGCAGGAAGTAGAGACCAACCTGCAGGAGGTGGTCTTTGACTACCTGCATGCTACCGCGTACAGATCCACCGCTCTGGGCAGGACCATCCTGGGCCCCACCGAGAACATCAAGTGAGACCAAACTTTTATTTGATGTACATAAGATTTGAGGAAACAGCTGATCACAATGTGTTTCATGTTCCTTCTGCTCCTTTTCGTTCTCTAAATTGATCACGTTTGATTGCAGGACGATCAACAGAGGAGACCTTGTGGAGTACATCACCACTCACTACAAAGGTCCAAGAATAGTCCTGGCTGCTGCAGGAGGTCAGTGCTGTTAGTCTCCTCTCCTGATTGGTTAATAAACTATAGGTGTATGGGTTTGTATTATATGGAACTACTACAAGTTTGAAGTTTAATCATTGTGTATGCTCAGCCGGTACGGGCTTACATGACTCCATGAATCCAGGAGAGTGCAGAGCAAGTTTATTCATTGTCATGGAACAGAAACAGAAAATTAAACAAAAGAAACTATAATTAGGTCGGCTCCAGACCCGTCACCACGACGGGGGAAAAGCGGTAACAATAATGGATGAACGCTAATTAAACTGACTATGACGTCTTCTTTACCTGCTTTTGAGACAAAATGAGTTTAAACACATCAAAATTAAACAGCCATTCCAGTTATTTCACATTTGTCCACCCCAGTATTTCAGGTTTTGGACGAGCTATTTCATGAACAATAATTCTCTTTAATCATATTTTGTACAATGCAAAAGAAAACGGGACTCACTTTCTACTTTATCCAAATCACAAAGTCTGTTTTAGTCTAGAATAGTTTTCCTCATATCCTCCTCCTCACAAATTAAAGAAAAGCTCTTTTGATTGGTCGATTCCACTATTGAATCATGAGAACATTGTTCATGGAAAAAGATGTCTTAGTTTTTTAAGTAAGGGTGTGTGACTGCATGAACTCAACAGAAATCAATCAGAATGAAATGTATATGTAAATCTTTTTAAAGATTTATTTCTGGACATTTTATGTCTTGTGCGCACCAACCACTGTGTCACCAGTGAGTACCTCATCAGAATAAAATCTGACTCTGTGGTTGTGTTTTTTCAGGAGTTTCACACGACGAGCTCATTGACTTGGCGAAGTATCATTTTGGAAAACTTCCTGGCAGATATAAGGGTGAAGCCCCGTCACTTCCTGCATGTGACTTCACAGGAAGTGAGGTAAGATTGAAATCTTATTTTCTTTTAGATAGATGTAAAAAAATATATATACATATATATTGTAATCATTAATCGAGGGATATTTCTGCCGTTATCAGACAGCACGAGCAGAAAAATGTTTGTCACTGAACAAGAAGAACAAAATAGAGTTGGAGTAAACCTGTAGATGCCTCAGAAGTAAATAAATAAAGAAAAATATTCAAAATACTAAACCCAGCAATATACAGAACTGAAATGGTAATCATGTTTTTGATTATCTCAATGTTATTTTAATTGTTGTTTTCACACATTAAAAAAACAAATTGTCAGCTGATTATTTTAAATGAAACACATTTTAGTGTGGTTCATTCTGTACCTGCTGACAGTTTGGGGAAAATGATACAAGTTTATGTGCTTTCTCTTCAGATCCGCGTGCGTGATGACAAGATGCCTCTGGCTCACATCGCCATCGCTGTGGAGGCGGTCGGGTGGTCACACCCCGACACCATCCCCCTCATGGTGGCAAACACACTGATTGGAAACTGGGACCGCTCGTTTGGTGGAGGAGTGGTGAGTACAGAGGAAAGCTCAGCGGATTGTTTTAAATTAGACTTTCAGAGCGGGATCACTTCATCCCCTCATTATGCCTTCAGGACAATTAGATTGAAGGTGAAACGCCACAGGGATATAAAAAATTGCGGTTTCAAACAACAGTCTGAATAGGGCTTAGGATTTTGTAGGAGTGTTGTTCCGGCACTGAACACTAGATGGAGTCGTGATGGACATAGAGCAATGACTCCAGGTGATTGGCACCAGGTGTGTATGGAGGCGAACAGTTTTTGACCGTGTTAAGTACGATGTCAGTGCAACATTTAATATTTTCTTATTTATTGAGCGTTGCTGAGCGTGTTTGTTGGAATGTGTAAATAAATGGATCAAAACTAAAGTTACCCGTTGGACATTTTTTGTTGTTGCTGTGACCTGAAGTCCCCAGCTCATGCCTCAGTGACTTGTGGGATAAAAACGTGATTGGTTTAAATAGGTCTGATGAGTGTTTTTTAGACGGACACACAAGCAGCAGTGCACACCGCTCAGTTTGTGCTTTCACCCTGTAAGCGTCCCTGTTTGCTTGTTTCCTCTGCGACACAGAATCTGTCCAGTAAACTGGCTCAGATGGCCTGTCAGGGAAACCTGTGCCACAGCTTCCAGTCCTTCAACACCTGTTACACAGACACGGGCCTGTGGGGACTCTACATGGTGTGTGAACCAGGCACCATCAACGACATGATGCACTTCACTCAGATGGAATGGTGAGAGAGCACACACACACACACACACTGCAGAGATGATGTTGACAGAGGATGATGGATGTTGTTTGTGACTCTCAGGATGTCTCTCTGCACGAGTGTGACGGACAGCGAGGTGGCTCGAGCCAAAAACCTGCTCAAGACCAACATGCTCCTGCATCTGGATGGTGAGGCAGTATCAAGAGTCCTTTTGGTTTTATTTGATCTTTTTATAAATACAGAAAGATTGAATAATAATGTTGCTTTCTTTTTTATCCGCTCTCTCCAGGATCCACCCCCATCTGTGAGGACATCGGCAGACAGATGTTGTGCTACAGTCGAAGGATCCCTCTGCACGAGTTGGAGGCCAGAATTGATGTGAGTGTATACAGGCGGACCCCCTTTACATCTGCTGTAAAAGCAGATTTTAAGAGTGCAAAATAACAATTATAAAGTATGCAAAAACATTCCCCCTGGGCTGGATGGCTGGATGCAGTCACCTTTAATTAAGCCCATTAATTCTGAAAAGAAATGGAAGTGGGTCAACAATCAAATCTGAGCAGTTATTCTGTATTGATTATGTTTTTTTAGTCACCCTGCCTCTCTCCTCTAAAAACATTCTTGGTTAATCAAAAGATGATCATTATTTAGTGTCAGATCAAAGCTCAGTTTTAATGAGGTATGTCATAAAAAATGGAAAATCTGCAACTCTAACGAGCCTTTGCTCCAGTTGTTTGTTTTATACTAAGGTATAATAAATTGTTTTTGCATTTGTACAGGCCATCGATGCAAGACCATTAAGGACGTGTGCACCAAATACATCTACAACAAAGCTCCCGCCATCGCAGCAGTTGGTAGGTTGATATCTGTTCGCTTCACATAAATACAACTTTAACACCTTGTAAAAAAAGAGCTCATGAGTTTTAGATTCTCTCCATTCAAGAGTTTAAATTTGACTTTTATCAGCCGTCATACCTGAACCTGACCTCTTCGGTCTCATTCTTTAAGTTTATTTCTCCCAGTGCAACTAAAATGTAAGCCGTCCAAATGTTATCAGACGGAGTTTTAGCTGCTTAAGTGATACAGGTCTAAGCTGAGGTCAGGACATGGTGGTCTCATTTGTGTCAGTGTGGAAACTGTCCAACATGGAGTAACAACAGTTATTCAGGGCGCTCTCTGACCTCGTCTTTCTCCTTTAAGTCAATCATTTCTTCAGACACAAACTTTCAATCTGTTGGGGATGCAGTACCTGTCATAATTTATAAATGAAGTACCTACCTAGACTTTAGGGAGCAGCACTACACTCTACAGCCTGCTGGAATATCATTAGAAGACACAGCTCTCAAACAATCATGTCTTTTTCAACTAGTCCCCCAAACTGTGTTGATCTTTTTATGATACTGGATCATCTGGTAGACCGGTTTACGTCATTTCAGACTTTTTCCACATGTTGCTGTAAAATAAAATGTGAGACACGGTTTTGGACTCTGATCATGTTTTGAAAGCTTAATATTACATTAAACTTTACCTCGTAGGCAAGATATAAAATAGGTTAAATAACTTAAAAATAGTAAATGTTGTGCCTGTTGGTAGAGAGCTCTTTCTTCCTCTGTAAAGAGACGGAGCAACAGGTCCTTTTTTTAAACTTGTCTGATCATACATTACTGCCTTGGAATACAAGTAGTTTTTAACAAAAAACTATTATATCTATTCTGCAAGGGGAGACCTATATCATCAGCCAAGTTGTAAATAAAGATGCTGTTTCAATAAGTATCAGTAATATGTAGGACTACATGCATCCTCCTAACCAGGAGAGAGCTTCGAGAAACCAAGAGGAATCGATAAATCAGCTGGTTGTTTTGAAGTGCATTGTGATTAATTCTCATTTGTTTTGTGTCTCAGGTCCGATTGAGCAGCTGCCTGACTACAACCAGATCCGCAGTGGGATGTTCTGGATGAGAACCTGAACAGAGTCCCTCCCTCCACCTGTACAGCCCATAAATTAACAAACATATTTAAAGTCTCATCTGTAGTATTTTTCCTCCTTTAATTTTTATTATAAAATAAAGACCAACACAATAATGTTAAAATAACACAGATACTATTCTTTGTGGTTCGTGTCATTTTTTACTCTTTGTAGCCACTTGTTCCTGTGCCGCTTTCTTCGCTTTAACCATCTCCACCAGCTCCTGCAGGAACAACAGACCGTGTTAGAATGACTCCACACACACATTTATTTAACGGGACAAAGAGGGTAATCTGTACTGAAACCGGCTTCTTACCTTGTACCTCTTCATACAGTCTTTCTTGGTTCTTCCTGGGACAGCTGCAGCGATCTTCTCCCACCTCTCAGCGGTGCTGACAGGGTAGGTCTTCAGGGCTTGTTCCAGAAGTTTCTGTTCCTCAGTAGTCCAGGAGGCAGCATTACCGTCACTACCAGCAGCTGAGGGACAGCAGGACAATGTGACATGTTAAAGATGATCGAGTATCAGTATCAGGTACGATATCCGACTGACAGCGCTGATCCAACTCAACGATCAAGAAATTTCTGAAGGCACTTTGAAGACATTCAGACTGAACTGTAAGAAGTGCTGACAAATCGTCTCCATGACATCGTTCAGACGAGCTGGAACAGAAGTACAATTCTTAGGCCCTGGTCCACCTAGTGTTTGTTCTCAGGGCAGAAAAGCGCTGTTTGCTTGAGTGCTGCAAGTACGTCCTGTCTCCATGACAACAGACGCTGTATGACCGACACTGTTCTGTGGTGTTTTTTACACGATCAGTAGGCTGCAAATCGCCTGAACCTCCATCTCCCCTTTTACTAGACAACAGTAAACAATAACAGAAATCCACTAAAGGTTCCATCAATTTGAATAGTTTGCATTATAGAAACACATGATACACCCCGCTAAATAATAAAACGTAAGTGTAACAAACGTGGTTTTAATGGAATTATTTGCAAGTGTTCGGGGTCTTTATCACATTTTCAAAAAAACTCACCGTCAAATCTCTCTGAAGGCGCAGCGTTGTCGATGGTCGGAGCGACTGAAGTGTGTTCCTTCTTAAACTTCTCGAAAGCTTTTCTGTTGATCTCGTCTTTCTGTCCTGGATCTGTGGGATCAAGAAAGATGAACACTGACTTCTCTGAGGAACATCTACGACATGTTACGACTGTTAGCGCTGAAGAACTTTAGGTAAATATGCAGCTGAGTTTAATGTTCTATGTGAGCTCACCCAGTCGTTGCAGGTTCTTGGCTTTGTTGATGACGTCTTTGGCGGTCCTCTTCATGCCACTGGTGGAGTGCAGGTTCATATAGTTGGCAATAACTTCCCATCTGGAGGGAGAAAAGAAACCAGTTATGACCGCATCACAAATCCAAAGTTCAGGGTTTCCTTCAATCAAAACTTTAACAGTTTTCAAACAACTGAGCTGTACCACAAAATAAACTTCCACTTTACATGAAAAGACTGTTTATATGAATGTGTGTATTTATGCACTTGAATACTGTTTTCAAAACATTTGTGGTTTTCTTCTAATGTAAATCTGTAAATAATATATTTGTGATCTCAATGGATTCCCCAAATTATTAAAGGTTAAAAAAAACAATGTGTGTGTGTATGTACTAATACATACGTATATAATGTGTGAGAGGGTATAGTTGTGTCTGCATGAATTTGTAGAGTGTATGTGAGAAAGTATTGAATATGTCCTAAACGGCCTCACATACATATGAGAGGCCGTTAAGACATATTTAATACTTTCACAAACACTCTACAACAATCCATGCAGACAGAACTATACTCTCACACACACTATGCCATCATTTTGGTGACCTCGTCTCAGTTGTGTCCCTGAACACGTGAGCGCTGCGATGTTTGTACCTGGCGTTGGTTCCAGCAGGAAACAGATTAACAGCTTTGATGAGCAGCTGGAGGTCTTCCTCGTTCCAGCCTTTACCTCCACCTCCCCCTCCTCCTCCCCCGCTCGCCTGGTCAGCGCTGCGGGACGTCTGCCTCGCCTGGACCTCCGCGTCACGCTCCCTCTGCAGCTGAGCATTCACCTCCTGCACCTGGGGGGGGGACAAAGAGTGAGGTCTTTACAAACGTTCACTGAAGGATGTGGAGCTGCCATCATTGATCTATTCGTTTTTTATTAATACAAGTGAATATTTTGTACGCCGAAAAACACAACATCTGTGTCGTGGGCAAAAAGAAACAAACTGAAGACGTCAAATAACTGAAACAAGACCAAACAAAGTGATTCATTAATCAAAACATATAAACTCAACATAATAAAAAACATTTTGGTTCACAGGACTATCCTTTCTAAGATATTAAACAACATGCTTTTCTTACCTGCTTCTCCACGGCTGTCTTGCTGTCGTCTTTTGAGCCTGCGGCCAGGATTTCATTCAGAGACTGCAGGCTGAAAACAGACGAGTGTCATGAAATAATAGTCATAATTAAAAACATGTTTTAACTCCTGATCTTGTCGTTATCTGTACCTCGCCAGCTCCAGTCGGTCGCAGAGCTTCTCCACCTCCTCCATCATTTTCACACTGTCAGATTCGTCATCTGCAAAGTAATTCCAGTTCTGTGGAGTGAGAAACGAAAGACAACATTACAGAGACATTTCAGATAACCTGGGAAAAAAAACACCAGGAGATGCAAACACACTCAAGGTAAATGACTGTTTCTCTCTGTGTGTTTGAAGACGGCGATGTAACATCTGTTTCTGTTTAAAATGAAAAGGATCTTAGTTTTAAAAACAGCTTTCTATAATGCTGTAGAATGTCAGACATTAAGAGTAACAAATATCTAAATTAAAAATGAACTAAACCCATGTTGTATTTTTTTGTTGAGTTCTTATTTCCAACGGGACGTGCCTTGTCGCGGAAGCTGCCATGACAGACACAAAATGTTTATAGTTGCCGTGGAAACACCAGATGTTACAACAAAGCCAGCTTTATGTGCTGCTGTGATAAAAACATCATCCTCAGGTCGGTTACGCCCGGTCATCTCGACTATGGTGAACATGGAGTTCGTTTTCATCGACGTCATCTTTAGATATTGTTTTGATTGAGAGCCCCCTGGTGGCGGATTTTACATACAATTTATCTTTTTGTACTTGTTGTGTGTTTAGTCTTTAATATGATTAGAAAGGTTTAAAAAGCAGGATCTGCACTGTAACTACTACAGGACGATCGTCTGTGAGGATGCACCTTGCAGGTCGTCCTGAGTTTCTGCCTCTCCTTCTTGATGGCCTTCTTCTGGATCTCTTTCTCCTTTTTGGCCAGCTGAGCCGCCTGTTTGGCCTCCTCCTCCTCCTTCTCCTTCACCAAACGAGCGGCCTCCAGCTCCGCCTGACGAGCCTGAAGGACACAGATCGCTGCCCGGTGAACACTTTACAGAGTGATGACATCTTCAGCAGTTTATGTTAAGTTAGCCTGATCATCACACCACCCTCATTCAATTCAAATAACTTTATTTATCCGTTAGGAACTTCCTTTGTGTAGAAGAGCATCAGTGCTCATACAGCTAGACGCAATAACAACAACAGAAACGCACACGTACAAGTGGCTCTATTAAAAGCATGATAAACAGGTCATAAATAATTGTTTAATAACGGTTAAAAGGGGGGGGGGGGGGTGAAAAAATAAATAAGAAATAGATCATTTGTTCATGAGCCTGATGGATGTGGGAGCAAAGCTTGACATGGCTCGATTAGTCCAGAAAGTGAGAGATCAGATTCGCCTCCACTGGCTCCCCATCAAGTCCCCCATCCAATATAAACTCCGCCCACTCACCTATAAATCTCTCCATGCTCTAGCCCCACCAAACCTCACTGACCTCCTCCTTCCTTACACCCCGTCTGACAGCTGCGGTCCTCAGCCTCAGGCCTGCTCTCCACCCCCACCCTCCTTCAGTGCCTCAGCCCCCCCCCCCCCCCTCTGAAACTCCTCCCTGCCACCTGTTCACCAAGGCCCCCTGCTAACCCTCTCCACCCGGACTCTGTGTTAAGAACCACACTTACTCTCTCTCTCTCCTCCTGCTCTCTCTTCTTGGCGTCAGCTTTGGCTTTCTTCTCAGACTCTTTCCGGGCTTTTTCATCATCTTTGAATTTCTTTATTCTAGGGTCGATGCTGTACGCCATATCTGCAGCAGAGGAGAAAAAAAGAAAGAAAGATACTCACAAAATATTCAAAAGCCTTCAAGACACTTTGTTGTATTTCAAGTTGTTCCGTCAAAATCTCTTTCATTGATGCTGCGTTTGTGTGAGAGACTGTACCAACTAGTGTTCGTATTCTGTTCATCTCCTCCTTCTTCCTCTGAGCTCTGGAGGCTCGATTCTGCTTCTCGATCCATCTCCTCTCGTCTCGACTGCGGGGTAAAAGTTCAAGTTCAAAGTCGGTCAGAAATTTAAAAAAAAAACCTGAGTGTGTAGAATAGACGGAAATCCCACACCACCTTACCATTCAGCTTTTTCTTTTTCCTCTTCATCGAGGTACGAGAACTCCCTCCAGGAGTCAAAGTTGTACCTTTAACAGAAACAAAATGCTAGAATTATTATTTTTCAAACCAATCACAAACATTTCTCTGATTAAAACGAGACTGAAATAAAAACTCACCAAAAGGAGTAAAAGTTATCGACCTCTTCAAAAGAGGACTCCATGGTCCCCAGTTTGGGAACGTGCTTTTTGGAAGACCATCGGGCATTTCTGTCGAAAACTGCGGTGAAGACGTCGAAAAAGTTCTCTTTGCCTTCGCCCTTTGAAGGCACGGTGTTGTCGAAGGTTGGGTCTACACTGTCGAAGGCTCTCCTCTTCACAGGGTCCGACAGGATTTCTATAGCTGAGGGTCAAAACGTGTGACAGGAGTGAGTGCGAGGTCATCTTGGAGTCTCAAAATAAACCGACTGAACCGAGCGGCTCGTACCTTTAGTGATACAGGTGAAGTAGTCGTTGTCGCCCTCTACGATCTGCTCTCCTGCAGCTTTCCTCTTGTCAGGGTGGTGCTTCAGAACGATTAATTTGTCTGATGAGAGAGAGCGAGGAGAGTGTGGCTGAAATGATTTGTTTAAACTAAGAATAAAGAATGATAACTGAAGAGCGGGATGGAGACTCACGGGCAGCTTTGATTTGTTTCTGCGTGGCTTTGTACCTCATGTTGGTCAGGCCGAGGACAGCATAGTGATCCTGATTCTGTCAGAAAGAAAAAACCATCAAGAGTTAACTGTTGTCCAGGGTGAGAATTTCAGCAGCAAGTCTATGAACACTGGGACACCCAGTGTGAAGCTGAAAAACCTTATTTATCTGATCCTGGCGTCAGTAAAACTCCTCATTTCAGCTTCTGTCTCTTTATGTGTATCTTTTATCACATTGACAGTATGTCCTGGACTAATCCAAAGTGCAGGTTGTCATTCAGTTAGGTGAGTCCCGTACCTTCCAGTCTTTGGGGTCGAGGGTGCGGAGCATTGGATACTCCTCCAGCTGGAACTCCTCATCCTCTTCCTCCTCTGAGGACTCCTGCTCCTCCTCCAGCTCCTGGAAGGAGGTCGATGTACTTCTGTTCCTCCTCCTTACAAAGGCCTCGAACCAGCGACCCACGGGCTCCACCTGGACCTGCACAGAGGCTGGGGGGGGGGGGGGGGTGAGTATCTAACAGTAGTTGTTGTGTCTTACCACAGTCATATTAATAATTATATAATGAACATTTATAAGTCTTCAAAAGAAGTTTATTCTTTTCATCCTCCATTCTGGAAAATGGGGAGCGACAAAAGACTTTTGGTTTTAGCCGCTGAATAAACATTTCCCACCCAAAGGTCTTCCTCTTTTCTGTTCAAATCTCTTGACATAAATCGATTTCTTTCCTCACAATAATCTGGTTTCTTCAACTTTCACTCCAGAGCAAAAATCAGACTTTCAGTTTGACATAAATAATGATTGGACATTTATTGTGATAATTGTCGATATCGACTGATATGAACATTTCTATCATGATAATATATTCAGTCATATCACCCCGGCCTAACATGTAGTAATATTTAATACATCAGTTCTTTAGAGTGCGTTGATTAAAGATGTAAAGGACAGTTTTTAGAAATCTTCTGCTTTGTGTCTTTAAAGTTTCAATAAGGAAAAAACACTTATTAACCTGCTATTCTATTATTTCTACTTTATTGTAAATTCATTTCTAGACTGATATTTGGTGTTTAAGAGCAACTACAGTAACCACATGTCTGCCTGGGATTAATGAAGTATTCTGATTCACAAAGTGCTTTTTAGTGTGACAGGTGTCTGAAGGTACAACAGGTGTGTACACCTGGTGTAACAGGTGTGTGATGTCACAGTTAATCACAGTGTAATGACATAAAAGAGAAACGGGTTTATTATCAGGATGTTTATCTACTGTATGTGTGGAAGCTTCTCAATAATCACTGCAGCAAGTGTCACCATGAGTGGGCAGCAGATTATATAACACAGTCAAAGAAACCACAGAAACACTAAATATTCAACATGAAGGGAACATCAAAAGCTCTAACATGGAGAAACATGTCTCTTAGTTGAGGCAGTTTTCATTTGTAGCTCTATGCTAACGAAGTCTATATGTATTACAGTGTTAGCTTAGCTTAGCTTGTGGCCTCCTTCATGCTCACCTGCAGCCGCAGTGAACACAAACGTTTCATCTCCTTCCCGCGCTTCTAACAACATCGTACAGGTGAGGACTCCACGAGCATCCAGGTGTCTGAAGTATGAGAAAAAAGCTTTTTGTAAAGTGCTGAAGTTCAAAGACCGCTCATTCACACACACCACATGGGCCTCCCTCTCCAAGTGCCGAGAAACGAGCTCCGGTGTCACGCCGTAAAACGGTCCGTGCTGTAGTTTTGAATCTGCACCAAGGTTCCGCTACACACGTTTTATCAAACATGGTGTTTTCGCTGGAAAGTTAAACTTATTCAAATTATTTTGAAGATTACAACTTTATATTAATATTTATTAAGAAGGTTTTAATTGTTATTTGACACTAGGTCCCCCTGTTACAGAAATGACTTAATTTCTGGAACTATAATTGAGGAATTTCTTTTGAGTACTTTATTCATTTTCGTTTTTTATTCATAAATGTAAATATATTAAGACTCAACTCCTACTGACAGTTTCGTGAGAAGATTTTTTTTTTTTTGTACTTCGAAAAAGAGTCGAAGTGTCTATAATTAAAACTTATTCTCGACATTTCAACTTTTTTTCTCAATATTATTTTTGAAATTTTATTTTAATTTTAACAGCGACATTTCACCACATTCACATTCTTTCGACATTTAGACTTTTTTCTCAGTTTTCATGAGAGAGTAAAGCTCTTTGTTGTAAATCCTTGCAGTATATTGAAAAAATAAAAAATAAAAAACTTCACATTTATAACGAATTAGAAGCTTTAGAAGAATCCCCTCAGTCCCTGTCTTTATTTACTTATGTATATACTTTTTTTTATTGTTTATTGTATTATTATTATTGTTGTTGTTATTGTTTTGTGCTCTGTTCTCAAAGAGCTTGATTCACCTAATATCTGAAATGTACGGAGCCCCTCTGATGTCATTGATGAAAATGTATTATATATATATTATATATATATATTTATAATTTGTGGCCTCAAAACAATATTTCATAACCTTGAAATATTAATTTGTGGCCATATTTTACTAATTTGGAACTACAAATTATTATTTTGTGGCCACAAATTATAAAATTTTCACCAATGCCATCAGAGGGGCTCCATAGAAATGCCAAATGTTGTTGTACATTTTCTAATTCAATAAAGGAGAAAGTCTTGTTGGACAGGGTTTTTTTTACTACAAAAACATATGAAGTTAAAAACAGTCTCAACAATAGTCAACATGTCGTTTTAATATGTCAAACCCCGTTGTTTTGGTCGTCCATCCTACCTTCATCTATATCTGTGAATTTAAAACAAAATCTAAATATTATTACACAAAAATGTAATAAGTATGTTCTGCATAAACCCGCCAAACGTTTACCAAATGTAACTCAAAATAAATAACCATTCATGGATTCTGTCCACAAAAAAGCTTCACAGTGTAAAAACTATAGAAAAGATGCTCCTGAGATTAAATATTAAGACGACAAAATGTGCATTCATTACTCATTAGACACATTTTGTAGTGTTACTTGAAAATCTTTTTCGGTCTATGAAAATGTTAGAAAAAAATAAGATAATTGAGAGTCTCTATATAACTTGAGTTTTATATATTTTTTTGAATTAAATGTATTCTATTTTGAGTGATTTCAAGTTATTATATATGTTTCTATTGTTGTTTTGTGGTCAGTTTGGTTGTTATATTTTTGTTGTCATCTAAAAATATATATTTAAGTAATTTACAGCAGGTCCAACAGTTTAAATGTCTGTTTCCTAATTAAAAACAATGAATAAAGAACCGAAAAATATTCATTATCTTTTTAACTATTGGATGTCCATCCTTCAAAAGGTTCCGCCCAGCATTTCCTGTGAGTGGATGACGTCAGCGGAAGTTCAAAGCTGCTGTGTAATGGTTCTGTCGGCTCGCTGAAGGAGGTCGTTGTTTTTTTTGTCAGAAACAGTTCAATCTAAGTTTAAATATGCCCGATTATTTAGGAGACGACCAGAGGAAGACTAAAGAAGAGGAAAAAGATGACTTACCCATCAGAGGTAACCGCTATGTTGAAAAGACATTTTATTAAAAACATCTTCACTAAAAGAGGACGGAGGTGTTAGCATTGTAGCTAACGTTAGCGCTAACCATTAAACCAACTACGACTTCTAACAATGCATTTAAATCTTTTTAAGTTTAATACATATAACAATTAAATGTTCGCAATAAGGGCATTATAATTAAAATAAGTAACCATGAAGAAATAAACTGCATGTCTGAGTTGAACAACAATGCTAGCGGCCCTCTATCTGAGTCATAATGCTAACATGTTGTTTTCATGTTTCCAGCTCTGGATGAAGGAGACATCGCTCTGCTCAAAACCTATGTAAGTATGAAGCTTTTTATAGCTTTTACTGTTTAATATGTCTCCTGTTGGGTTGTTTTAATGTGATGCTTGTCTCTTCATAAGGGTCAAAGCACTTACTCCAGACAGATCAAACAAGTAGAAGATGATATTCAGCAGCTGCTCAAAAAGATCAACGAGCTGACAGGTGAGTGAACACACGGAGCAGGTTGTGTGTCTGCCACGCAGCACAATATTTAATGTGTTTTTCTAAAAGATGCTCATGTGCAGTATGAAGTAGCTCAGTCTGTAGGGATCAGGGAGGAAGTCCTGGTGCAGACAAAAGTATGGAAGTTGGTCTGGTAGCAGGAGAGGTCACTTCCTGTGTACTAGCGGGTGCCCTTCACCAGCTCTCTCCCTGTGGGCAGCCGGCCGCTCACGCTGTCGTCTCTCCATTAATGCTTGTCCACAGGTCCTCTTTGTGTGTGTGTGTGTGTAGCTCATCTCTCAATAGCAGAGTGTAAACTATATATTATTATCGTTGGTTCAGTAACACTGTAGACTGTGTGCTGGGATGATCTGGTATTGTGACATTCTTAAAGTAACCCTTCAGATGTAACTAATGGATGCTTTGCTTGTATTTGAAGCTTGTGTTTCTTGGTGTTCACAGGCATTAAGGAGTCAGACACAGGCCTGGCTCCTCCAGCTCTGTGGGATCTGGCTGCTGACAAACAGACTCTGCAGAGTGAACAGCCACTGCAGGTAGCAAGGTAAAGCAGCCTTTGATCTGAATTTATTTAAAATACGACATGGATGAAGTGACCATATCTCCTTTACGTATTCTGCTTTTCCTGCTGACTATCATGAGATATTACCTGTAAGGAATGTAATACATTTGCACCAAATTAGGCCGCATTGACCTATTTTCCCAGGTGCCCTGACAAGTGAAGTACTTTCCTGTTCAGTATCAAAGACAACACATTTCTTTGTATAAAAACGTTTCTCCAGTGTATCCACTCTGCAGTCTCTAATGTTTGCGTTTCTGTGCATTTCTCAAACAGATGCACAAAAATAATAAACGCAGACTCCGAGGACCCCAAATACATCATCAATGTCAAACAGTTTGCCAAGTTCGTGGTGGACCTGAGCGACCAGGTGGCCCCGACTGACATCGAGGAGGGCATGAGAGTCGGGTGAGGAAGACGTGTTATGATGAGTTTGAAAAGCCACATCAAATATGTAGTGAAACAAACCGCTAAATTGAATGTCTCCTCTTTTTGTCCAGTGTTGACAGGAACAAGTATCAGATCCATATTCCCCTTCCTCCTAAGATCGACCCCACCGTCACCATGATGCAGGTATGAATCCACAAGAGCGTCCCATGAATTCATCTTTCTGCAAATGTGACAGCCGACTTCCACCCATTGGCACATTGTTGGAGAATCTTTGTACAGTAAGAACCGTCTGTTGTGATGTCGTAGGTGGAGGAGAAGCCTGATGTGACCTACAGCGATGTTGGTGGATGTAAGGAGCAGATTGAGAAGCTGAGAGAAGTGGTGGAGACCCCCCTTCTCCATGTGAGTGTCTTTAAATGAACACAAGCCTCATCAACACTTGCTGCTAATTTAATTCTATGTAGTTAACAAGAATAAATCCATTCCTCCATCCTGACCTGATCATTGTTTGTCTTGTTCCTCTCCAGCCTGAGAGGTTTGTCAATCTGGGTATCGAGCCTCCTAAAGGTGTTCTGCTGTTCGGACCACCGGGCACAGGAAAGACCCTGTGTGCCCGCGCCGTGGCCAACAGGACGGACGCCTGCTTCATCAGAGTCATCGGCTCTGAGCTGGTGCAGAAGTATGTGGGAGAGGTGAGAAACACGCGGGGCTACATCACAGCAGCTGTTTTAAGCTAACACATTAGCCAAATGTAAACACTCACCGTGGATTCCCGTTTGTGTTTAAAGGGAGCCAGGATGGTGCGTGAACTGTTCGAGATGGCCAGAACCAAGAAGGCTTGTCTGATCTTCTTTGATGAAATTGATGCCATTGGAGGTAAGGCTCACCCACAGTCACATGGTCATACACAGGTGTACATTGGCCTTTTCCACAGGCTTCAACTCTTTACATTAGGGCAATGGAAAGTCATGTCGTGGCTCGGTTGGTAGAGCAGGCGCACACAGGGTCCGGGTGCTGTCTGGTGCATGTCTTCCCTCTCTGTCTACAGACTTCCTGTTTAATAAAGGCCCCAGAATAATCTTTAACAACAAAGAATAAATTTTGGACTTCCACCTGAACAGGTTTATTGTTTTTATTCTGCCAGGTGCTCGTTTTGACGACGGTGCTGGTGGAGACAATGAAGTCCAGAGGACCATGCTGGAGCTCATCAACCAGCTGGACGGCTTCGACCCCCGAGGAAACATCAAAGTTCTCATGGCCACCAACAGACCGGACACGCTGGACCCGGCTCTGATGAGACCCGGACGTCTGGACAGAAAGATCGAGTTCAGCCTGCCAGACCTGGAGGTGAGTTTACAAGTTCTGCAGACAATGTTCTCAGAATTCATCAATAATACAAAAATATTTCTCTTTTTCTCCTCATTTAGTATTTCTAGTTCTTTTCTGTGTAGTCCTTATAGCGTAGCAAGTCCTTTTTGTAGTTCCTTAGCTGTTTGTTTTGTGTTTCAGGGTCGTACTCACATCTTTAAAATCCACGCTCGCTCTATGAGTGTGGAGAGAGACATTCGCTTTGAGCTGCTGGCTCGACTCTGCCCCAACAGCACCGGTAAGACTGAGACAGAAGCAGCACATCGTCTCGACGCTCACATCATATTCACTCCCGTCTGCTCATTTCATTGATGAGTCACTTTTAAGCTCACTTTGACATTA